GGCTCATTAAAATCAGAATATTGATATCTTGGGAAGCTTTTTAGTAAGAATGGGTAGGAGCAGGGATTACATCAGGAATGTTAGATATCCCGAAGCATTAATTATCACAAAAATCATTAGATATTATTACAGTATATTATTTATACATATTTAAAGGAGATTAGAGGTCTTTTTTGTTTTCAAAGTTATCCTAAATCACAGTTAAGAGGGAATTTAGCACGTACATTCAGATACATCCAATTATAAATTTCTTATGCCTTTTTGTCTAAACTGCCTCCAGTGTCACCTATTCCTTTTATTCTGAGGAAGTAGAGGAAGAAAAGTAAATGATCTCCCCAATATCACACTCCAGTTAGTGGCAGAACTGGGCTGACCACAACTTAGTTCTTCAGACAGTATACAGCCATGTTGGCGGGGCTGCTCTTTGATCCCAGGACTCACAAGACGAAGATGAAGAATCGCACTCCAGTAACTGAGTTTGTCCTTCTGGGAATCCCTCACACTGAGGGGCTGGAGAACCTGCTCTTCGTCCTGTTTCTGGCCTTCTACCTGCTCACTCTGCTGGGAAACCTGCTCATCCTCTCAGCTGTTCTCACTTCCCCCAACCTCCACACCCCCATGTATTTCTTCCTGGGGAGCCTCTCAGTGTTCCACATCTTTTTCCCATCGGTGAGTTCTCCCAAAATGATGCTCTACCTGATGGGGCAAAGCCGCACCATCCCTTACTGGGGCTGTGCCTGCCAGCTCTTCTTCTACCACTTCCTGGGCTGCACTGAGTGTTTCCTGTACACCATGATGGCCTACGACCTCTGTGCGGCCATCTGTCACCCTTTGCGATACTCAGTCATCACCGGGTGTGCATCGTCATGCCTCTGGGCACCTGGCTGGGGAGCTGTCTGCATGCGTCTGTCCTCACTGTTCTCATCTTCAGGCTCCCCTACTGCGGCCCCAACGAGGTGGACAGGTTTTTCTGTGATATTCCAGCGGTGCTGCCCTTGGCCTGCGCAGACACCTCTCTAGCCCAGATGGTGAGCTTCATCAACATGGGTGTGGTTGCGCTCCTGTGTTTTCTTCTCATTCTCGCTTCTTATACTCGCATGGTTATCTCTGTACTGAAGATCGGCTCCTCAGAAGGCAGGCGCAGAGCCTTCTCCACCTGCAGTGCCCATCTGACTTCCATCCTGCTCTTCACGGGCCGGTGGTCCTCGTTTATCTCCGACCCGCCTCCAGCCCTTGGCTGGACTCTGTGGTTCAAGTTCTGAATAACATTGTGACCCCTTCCCTGAACCCTTTGATATATTCCTTGAGAAACAAGGACGTGAAGTCGGCGCTAGGAAAGGTATTAAGGAGAACTTCATTGTGAGGAGTAAACTTGGTGTCGTGACCCATCGTTTATCAGGGGGCAATTGATTAGTCTCTTA